AGCAGGTCTGAGAAACTTCGTAAGCAGGTATCTCGGTATCTGTCGGTAATCAAAAACTTATCACTCGACCCGGATATTAAAGCCGTGCATTGCATGTAGCGGCACTTTTCTCGCATGTTCACTCTTGTAAGGTTACGTATAGAATCAATGACTAAGCGACATGCATGAAGAATCCTTCAACAGGAATATACATAACTCCAGCTTGCTTTTAATATCCAGTTAAACAAATCATGGTAAAAGTCTCGAGACGGATGAAGCTTGCATAATTCGCTTTCTCGATAATAAATTTCAAGTTTAGAGGCATATTTATTAGAATACATATTTATTAGAATACATATGTACAATTCTCCGAAAGCCAACCAAGCTATTACGACTTAATTGGACGAGGTTTAACATTGCAGCAATGAAAATCAACCGGAATCAATCAACTACACATGCAATAATTCAGACATTGAGCAAAAAGAAGAAAACAAAAAGTTGTCGTTACAAAGATCTTTATGAATACCAGTACTTCAAAGGCTTAGAACTTATTCAAACATAACCAATTTTTGGTATGCTTGAATGTTCTAACTGATTTGTATTCAACTTCAAACGCGAGAGATGTCAGTGAGTCGCCGGGTAGGCTTTGATGTAGCTGATACACGCACGAAGAAAATTTTGGACAATTGATAAAATTTATGACTGGATATTGGAGATCGACATGGAAAAATGGCTTATCTATTTGATGCAGTATTGTTTGAGTGATAACATAATTGATATAGGTATAACATACTTTTGGATGACTAGTACAACGATCAAGAAGAAAATCTACGAAAAGTCAGATCTAAATTACCTTTATCTTAGATGAGTGCAAAAATTGAACCATATTGTACTAATACACTTAACTCGTAATTATTATGCCTATAAAATCATTAATTGATCAATATCTATCAAATTTCGAGCCATGGTACGAATTACTATCCATGCAAGTACTTGGTCAAACATTTTCTCGACGATACATTGCATCAAATACAATTCAGAGTTATATGATTTGCATCGATTTCCCTCGGTCATGCATGCTTATGGCGTTTGGAAAATAGAATACCAAATCCAAAATATCCTCTTAACCAACAAGATGACTGAGATGGATTGTCAGCTGGAATATTCTTCTAGTCATTTTGTCCTATATCCAATCTATGGATGAAAATCTCTATCAAATCAAGATTAACTGACAGTAAACTATAGAATAGGCATATTTAACGTTGCATATAGATCTAAAAAGCATAAAATTGAACAACTGGTCAGGAACTACTACAACTCGGTCAATAATGGTAGTCATGTTCATGGGTCACATATCTATAGGTTTATGCCTATACGGAGTCCTAAGGTCTTGGCTAAGAAATAAGACAGTAACTGAGGGGATGGATGTGGGTAAATCGCTTTGGGTCAATTTTCAACGTCTTTTAAGCTGGATAAAATGAATAAAACAAAAGGCATAGATTAAGATTGTCATCCTAATTATCAACATTCCATTCTATCAAGTTTGGAGGGGGTATGTCGTAGCTTAAGCATGAGTGAAAACAAATTATATACTTCCAAGCTAGTCAATCTATCAACGACAAGCCGAGAAACCCGTTGAAAATCTTTGATAATCTATCCTTTAGCAAATGGTCACCAAATGAGGTATGCACTTCAATGTGATGCTAATTAAAAGCTGAAGGGGATGACGCATTAGCTCAAGTCTCACGCTCAACAGTCGCGAAGCTGACACTACAATAATCACGTCTATTGGTGGCTAATACAAATCATCTGGAAGAACGAAGGCAATTTTTGTGGAGGATAATTTTGGTAAATCAAATACCAGGTTAATGCAACGCCTAATGCTACCGAAAAGTCATCGCAGGTTCGAAATTCATCAATCATGGAACTGCCATACTGATGGGTAGAATCAGCTTTTCCAAAATGTTACGATGACTATTTCAGACTTACCTTGGAGTGGGTAAATCAGTAAATTGTTTTGTCCAAAGTTTATTTCAAAGGCTGGAGTAAGAAGAATATTCACCACTTACGAACAAATTTTTAGAAAATGCCGGATCCTGGCAGAAATGTGTTCCCGACTTCAATCCCAATTTCCAGGCCTACTGGATATATGATGAGATCTCCTACACTTCACGAAAGGGATATAGAGTAGGAACCCACGTTAACGACGTGATAAGTGGGGCTCGAGCTCATCATTTCCATCGCTCCTTCTCTTTTTAGATCACTTCATTTGTACGAGCCAGCTATAGCCATTGGATCAAATATTATGCACCTGAGCGGTCTAGAACTTAAGGTATTTGATTAAGGAATCACGCAGCTTACAAAGACGTTATTTACCTCTAACAACCTACACGTGCTGGTCACGTTATTAAAATATTGCAACATGGTGACTTATCTAAGCACCTATGACGCAAAAGACGATTGAGCGAAATACGGGAACTGAAAAGGTGTATGAGGAGAAAATTCTAACTAACTACTTGTGTATAGAGCAATAGGTTTGCGAAATTAAGGATCTTAAAGAGGTGATCGACCTCTTGCCGATTCTATTCATCTACAGGTATGGCTACAAACGCTACAAGTAATGAAAAAGTTTGTTTGAATCCCGAACGGAGGGAAATCTTTGGACCTCTCGGCTTTCGACGCTTGGACCTCGAATCTAATAGAGCTTTACACCGCCTCTACTCAATTCATTCCTGCCGTAGTCACCTAATCTTACCGACTCGTCCGGCTCAAAAGGCATGTGTCAACTGGCTAGGATCAAAGTGTATAGGTAGTAACGTATACGGCTAGTTGTATTGAACATCATCCTGGCCGACTCGAGATGGTATCTTACGGAGTCGAATTGAATCATAGCTATCATCAGAATGTACGGATTTGCAACTAAATTGATTATTATCTTTCTTCGTCAGATGGAACACGGCCATACTAGAGTTAGTTTGCTCATAAGATTTCCCTTTCTCTCGCACCTGATGGGACAATCTAGTGGAAAGCTCGCGTCCAGAGGGGAACCTGAATTATTGATATCTTACGTTCTCTACGAACCTGTCTCAAGGATATTGGGGAAAGAATTTCAGGTGATCATAGCCAGGAACATGTTCAGACAACTAACCCTGTCCAAGATCAATTACTTGCTCATTTCTCGTGTTAGTTAAGCTCCGGGAAGTCCGGAATACGAAAATCGACTCAATCAGAGCGGGAAACATCAAGATTTACACGTGCTATATATTATTCCATCGTCATCGCGTTCAATGGGTCAAAGCACGGATAGAATATTGCCGTTGTTTACTGTATTGTTGTGACGGGAGACGATTCTGCTTAATCACTCGACTGCTCATTCGTCAGTTTCGTGAGCCCAGATGATTTGGTAGAGTGGGGTGTTATGAAAGTGTGAGCTTGTATGTAATCTGAAATGGGAAGATAGTAAACAAAACTTTGGCTTAAAAAGCGTTGATGGTTGTGGTGAATGAATTCTTTCTGTATCTCATCATACAACATCAAAACATCACAACATCATCACTTTATAACATTCAAACACCACATTTCGACATTATTTCACCATTAACACAACCTTTTTTCTTCGAAATCTGGCTTATTTCTATCATCTACCGTAACATCATGGATTCAGCACCATTTTTTACAAATGAGTATGCTCCAGGGGGGACATGTACATACCCTATCCAGATCCAAAGCGGTGACTCTCAAGGAGCAATTATTGTCTCGCAATCTTCGACCCAACCATCGAAAAGGCGGCGGCTTTCCCGCGCCTGTGATGAATGTCGGAAGAAGAAAATAAAATGCAACGGTAAAAAGCCCTGTGCAAATTGCGCTAACAATAATTTGGGTATGCAACTACAGACACCATATAAATATACCCTACTAAATTGAAGTAATAGATTGCACGGATTGGAAGCCCTCGACTAGACAGAAGAGGCCGAGTCGGAAAGAAAGTCAGGATCTTCAGCATCAGTACCGAGAAGTTTTGGATAAGTTTTCAGTTTTGGCCCCTAGAATGGACCTTTCTAGGTTCACTGACAGTCTATCAATCCCGGAATACGGGATTGATATTCATTTCGCGGATTATTTGTGGACCTGCCCATCTTACAAAAGTGATGGTCAGGTGTCACCGAATACTAATTATTCGATGATACCTGAGCATCAAGGATGGACAGGTCTGCAGATGAAAGCAACGGCACTGCAAATCACAGCGAGGTTGTGAAGTGGGAATTCCGTGGGGATTCATCTGGCGCAGACTTACTCCAGCATATCCGGGACCACGTGGTTGATGTTCTGAGCGATTATAACACATCAATCAGTACAGATTCCACTCCTGATATGTCCTCATCGAACTTTTCGCCGATTTTATTCGATCAATCTCCAAATAAGTCATGTAGCTTAGGAGACCTACCTTTATTTGAGACGGCAAAGGCAGTTTGTGAGGCCGCTTTTAGCGAGATGAAGGCCTATTATTGTTTTATTCACTTTCCTACTTTCTACCAGATGCTAAGCGAAGTATACACACTTCCTAGCGATAACTTAATGGACGGAAAAAGTCAATATCTTAATCTTCTCTTTTCTGTCCTCGCCCTAGGTTATAATTCTGAAAGAAAAGGTTACAATAAACGTAATAGGTCAGGGGGTTTAATAAGTGAAACAAGAGCCGATAATGGGTAATATTAGCCCCATCATTTCTTTCATCCAATATTTAAGATGAACCATGAAACTAACTTTTGCCAAGCCAAAAATATTTTAAATGCGCAAAAAGCGCCATAGATGTTGCCGACTGTGAAACTATCCCACAGTTGCAAACAGTTATATTCATAATTCTCTACCTCCAAGCAACTGCCGACTTGAACGCCTGCTATTCTTATCTTAGATTGGCACGCAAATCGGCTGTTCGAATGGGATTAAATCATAAGCATGCTTGTGAGCGTAATCCCATAGAGTGCGAAGTTAAACGGAGGATCTTTTGGACTATTTAAAAGATGGACACCTCATTATCAGCTATACTTGGATATGCCAAGATTCATGATCTTGATAGCATTGACCAGGAAATGCTGATTGAGGTAGAAGACGTGAATTTCACTGAGACCGGAGTGAAAGATTTTCCAGGAACGAAACCGTCCGCATCATTGCAAGCAGCCAACGCTCATATGCGATTGATCTTGACACTTGATAAAGTAATCAACTTCATTTATCCCAACAATAGAGTTGGGACTTCCGCTAATGAAGCTATGGCTGCTGTGCATGTTGTTGATCACGGCAAAGTGCGGGAAATCGAAAATGATCTTTGGCTATGGTGTCAAGAGTTACCTGTTAGTACTCATTCCAGCAGAAGTGAAGAAGTGCATAATTACCGGTAAGCATGTTACGTGGAGAAAGATCACTGGCATAAATGACTCTAACAAATTTGAACAGCACTCGACAATTTCTGAGCCTAGCCTATGCTCACATGCAGATGATGCTGTACAGACCGTTTTTGCATTTTGTCTCCGGAAACGCTTTTGTGGACGAAAGTAAAAATAAAACGTCACAGGCTTGCGCTTCGGCCTACTTCAAAGTCTGTCAAAATGTGGTTCAAATTGTGAAAGACATACAAAAACGTGGGATAGTCATCGGACTGAGTTGGTTTATGGTATGTTCCCCATAATTTCAGTATCATTTTTACAAAGCTCTCGGAGCTCTCGAATTTAGCAAATTATTTGATCTGGCCTACTCTTATAGATGAGAAAAGTATTGCTAACCCTCGGGATATAGATAAATATAACCTCATTTGCCACTCTTTCCTTGGTTTATTTAAACTGTCAACGGACTAAATCGTCTGAACCACCTGAAACTGATGTCGACGCTCGAGTATTACATGAAGTACCCAAGCTCATAGCTCAAAGAAAGCGGGATGCATGCAGTTATCTATCAGCCATAAAGCTTTGTATCTTACTAGTATACGATATCTGGTGCTAACATTCTTAAGGCTTTGTCTAAACAATTATCGCCAAAGACAAGCTCTACTAATAGTACTGCAGTGCCACCAACTCATTGTAAGGACATATCCTCTGTGTCGGCAATTCTACTGGATGAAAAAGAGAAAGGTGAAACCTGTTCTGACTTACGCCCATGCCATTCGAAAGGGACCCCTAATAGTGAGCCTACAAATCAATTGTCAAAATTTGACGATGAAAGTGGCACCAAAAATTAAAATTTTGGCTGCAATTTAACGCAAGATTCAGAGTCTATGCCGTGTGATACGTCAGATGACGATATTTTCGAGTTCATAAATTTTGATGGCGACGAGGGGCTTCTGGCGGAAAATGACAAGGTAGTGGGATCTTCTTCTCAGGATATTGGATTAGTCCAGAATGTTTCTAATGAAGACACTGATTTGCCGGTCCAAATCATGACAATAGATGACTTCGTTGAGACATGGAAGTACGACAATGGGGTTCCAGATGTAGAGGAAATAATTGAGATGGGGATCTGTTTACCGGAAAGCAGAAATGGCAAGAGTTTTGAATTTTGTATTTAAAGAGATCAAAAAAGGATCTAAACTAGAGGAATAAATTTGAAGTACAAGTGGTATTGGTGTTCGGTAAGGGCTTTGGGAGAATGAAACAATTGGTATGGATTAGCGGGAGTTTAAACCCCTTTTCAGGCTATTGAAGTTATGGTATGTGTTAGAATTTAGTTTATTTATTTATTTATAATATTTAATGTCGTGCCTGCGCGCAGCATGTGAGCTCCTCACGTACCGGTGAGCCCAGTCTATCTACAACTACCCGACGTGTTGGCGCCAACATAGTCCCAACGTAGGAAAGGAAAACTAGGATGTTATTATCCAGTGGTCGAAGATTTAATTAAACATGAATATCAGCCTCCCGTTGTCTCTCATGATTTGCAGATGTTATTCTATGGAGAATATAAAGCAAAGAAATAAAATTAGTAACGAAAAATATTGGTTGCGTTGCTTCAAAGCCTTCACTCTTTAATTACATGACTCCATTCTCGTCTGACTTGTTGTTGTGCTTTTCGAAAAAAGTTTGTGTCATGAACCCAGCTACAGAATGCATGAACTCCCTCTGCTATAGCAAGAGCCCAAGATATGGTGGAATTGAGGATCTGAGCCCTGAAGAGCTCTGCCTGGTACTGCCCGAGGTTGCAATAGAAAAAGTGGTCGGGGGACTTCTCTTATCCTCATGAGCAGATAAGGGTGGCATTTTCATGCTGAAAGCGTCGGTGGTAGTCCGCGAAGTCGCCGTGACCGGACCGCGCAGCTAGAAGATATCCTAATGCGCGTCGCCCCATACGGGCGAGCTCAATGTTGATCTTAGTAATAGGACCAATACCTAATTCTTTGTATCTAGAAGGTGTAGAATTTAGATTAATTGGGGCTATCAAGTAGGCCACGTTCTTGACACACACGTGACTACAAATTCTGTTCTCAGTTTCACTTAGGTACTCACTTGAATTAATGCACTCCGCAATCTTAATGACTGAGGGGTCATCAATTCCCTAACAGAAGGATATAATCAATGGCTATCGCTATACTCCATGCATGAAAATTTTATTGAAGGTCTGAAATTGCAACATCAAAATTTATACGCCATAGCTTTGGTCATATTTGCATGCAAGAAAGGTGATGTGAATATTAGCATTTTGTTAGATTTTGTTCAATGTAATCGGATATGTGAAGAAATGTTAGAAATTCAGACTATATGTGTCTGAAGTTTCCCTGCGATTGTAACAGCTAAGATTCTCACGGCCTGACTCACTGTTACGGGCTAGGCCCGGCTGGGTTCTGGCTGGGCTGTTTAAGGCTATAGGGCCCATCCTTATCTTGAAGGCTCAAGCGAGTTTGTAAATCTTCTCACTATACGGGAGTATTATCAGATCACGTGTAAAGGGCAAGGGTATCTGGAACAGGTATTGTAGTTATAAAGAGCCATAGCTTCCAGCTCGTAATTTCCTCATAGAAAATATAAACATTTAATTGTGGCATTGCTTTCGTGCATTGGCCGAAAGTCCTAGCCCGTCACACTCACGACCTAGATGATTGATATCTCCTTTACTGAGCATGTTTGATGCTTGAGACTCGACTAGTGCATGGTATGGTCTGATACCTGTATAGGCTTTCATCTACCGACCCTGATCCCATACTTATGTTGTATACTGTCGTGCGATTTATTGTCATTGTTAGAGTGTGGAACGAGTGATGGATGGTATCTAGTTTGGATTTGGTCTATCAAGTGTACATGTATATAAGCTGTCTAGGAATCATCAAGACAGATAATCTAATCAATTTAATTCATTCAATCCATCTTTTATTTCTCTTCAGTATATCACATATTCTCCCGATTCATATCATTAATATTCTATTCATAAATGGCGCCCATATTCTTTGAGCCGCCTTACTCATCGAACCCATACCGATTTTCAACAAGAAATACGAATATGTGATAAATTGCTCTTTATTAAAAAACTTCATAAAGTAGAACGAGGACTACTTGTGCAACAATAGTGACTTATAACAATGATTCACTTGGTATACATCTTAATTTAGGTCTTTGTTAAGGTTAATTACCCCCCACAGAGCCATGCATTCTCTGGGATCACGTAGAATAACATCGCTACATCTTGGAATAGCATCTTTAGCTTGGTTTAATTGGAGTTGGTGGTTCTTGGTTTACATGCAAACGATTTCCTTCGTTGTGGATTTCGGCATTCGGATAATACTTTATCCGAATGCAACATAGTCAATATCTTGTAGCATCATTGTAGACTAAAAAACGAATGAACTATGAATGCGCATTTCTTCTGAACGATAGTTCAAAATACTTACATGAGCACTCTCATAACTTTAAGTGAACTAATAGACTTTTAGTGTATGACCTTTGTCATACCAACACACATCTAGATGACCGAAAAAATCACCCCCGTATCCATCTAACCTCCTAATTATAACGATTACCCCATGTGCCCAGCAACCTTTGGGTGCTGGGCCAGGCTCCTTTATCGTCGTTACATTCGAACAAGACTTATCTCACACCCTTTGACGTCCGTCGCCTTTCCCTGCGGCACGAATCAGGGGAGGGGTAATTGGGAGGCTTGGAAGATGCAGAACGCCTTCTTTAACGCATGTACTCAAATGAAGACCTATGGGAGTATTACTGCCGGAAAGAAGTCGTGAAAGAGGCATAAAGGGCCCATATATCCTTATACATTCAAAGACTCAATGGGTCAAAAAAAGTAGAACACAATAAAATTTACCCTAAAAGTATACACGGCTAGATCAGTCTTCTAGTTTTGCTGATTTTTATTAAATTTTACATGCTTATGAGGATACTGCACCGGGAAGGCTGCATGCTGCATTGAGCGAACGGTTGTCTTAATGTGCAACTAGATTGAGGTAACATTAAATCTTAGTATTCAATGTCTTCACGTAGAGGAGTCAATACCTTGGGCAGGATATATAATTGATCTAATATCTGAGTTATAGAGTTGCTGCTCGGTAGATTGTAACTTAGTGCACACAACCCCTAGAAGCTGATGCCACCTCTGAAGGATAGTATAAATTTGTCATCCAATTGAAAATTCCTCATATCTCTTGGTTCTGTCTCGTGTGCAACAACTCCAAATCTAGTGAAAGATGATGCAATGTATTCCTACGGGACGTCGATTCGTCAACGAGGCCAAAAATACAGAGACCACATGAATCTTATGCTAAAGTTATCAATTGAGCAACGTAAAAAATCTTTAATTCTATACTGTTAAATTCAGTTGGAATCATGTTCCGCCAAAATCAAAATTTTAATTCAATTTAGCAGGTGCCAAGACTGGTAGCGAAGTTTCAACAACCTATTTGACCCCGCCTGGAAGAACCCACTATATAATCATTCTCAATTTTCGGCCATCGCCTTAAAAGCCCTGTGATAACCACTTGATTGTTTATCTCGTCTGATTCTCGGCTCGGGGATTTCATCAAGCCCATCTAGCCCCGATTGTGCGCCGTTTATCTCTAATCCCGCATCATAAATGTTCATATGTTGTATTCGTAAGCGTGCTTCGTCTTCAAATCGTCTGGCAGATTCCAGGGTGTAATTCTGGAGAGCGTGTCGTGGCGTAGAGGGTACGGAAATTAGTAGCTTTCAAGTCAGTCTTATTTAAAGAAGGTTAAAGCTGCACATACCCGATTTTGCGTGTCAATCCTAGCATCTAGATCTTGGCCTTCAATCATAGTCACTAATTCTTTCTCAATATCTGTACCTGGAGCGGCGAATGCAACGTTAAGGCTATCAATCGTAACGCATGAAAATGGGATAAAATATTGCACTATGCATTTCCGACGCACTAGCTTGTAAAGTTCGTCGACATGTTTTTGAAGGTAAATGTCAAGGTAAAAATCAGTGTGATACGACTCAAGAATTTCCAGACAGGAATCGTAGCGGCTATTTACGAAAAAGTTGACTGCACGTCTTATGTGAGGCTCCAATTCAAGGTAGGTTCGAAAGTTCGAATTATCAAGCACTCTGGTTCGTAGCTCTTTGCGCCCAAACGTAGCTAGAGCACATAAGCCACCGTAGACGGCAATGTCGTTTGGGCTTATGATGGTGTTGAAATTTGGACCTAGCCCTGGCTCTGAAAGTAAAAAAATGTTGGCAGCTTGCTGATACTTTCCACTATCTATGCTTGCCAGACCTTCAGCTGCACACAGATAAGGTTGGAAAGGCCTTTCTTCTTTTTTCAAAGTCATAACTTGCTTCAGTTTCTGAACACATGATATGACTGCGAGCCAGTTTCTTTGTTCGACTGAAATATCAATAAGATGCTGGCAAACTTCAATTATATGTTTAGGAGCAACAGAATCTTGTCGCATACGACCAAACGCATCATAAGCTTTGCCAAGTTCGCCAATTGCTAGATAATGTTTTCCAAGGTCTTCATTACCCATCTAAGCTGAAAGTTAGATATGTATTACAGGATGGTAGTGTAGGAAAAACGCATTACCCGAATACTCTCTTTGATGAGGTTATTTTTGTATTGCTTAAGCTCGGCTTCTAAACTTTGCGTCTCAATTTGATTTGTACTTTTAACACGCTCTATCCACATCTCATCTTTCATTGCTTCTGGCTCATTGGGTCCGACTTTTTCAAGCTCAATGCATGCATCAAGGTAACGCTTGATATCCTTCCCGTTCTTCGCCTCATGAATAGCTGCCTTCAGTGCTTCAACTCGAAGTATCGTTGAGTTAGTGCCGATGTGAAAGAGGCGTTCAAATCTAGTACGTCCTTGCTACATGTAAGCCAGGTCTCTAGGTATTTAAATACATGTTTTATACCCTGGTAGTTCGACACATAGGAATCTATGTCGAATCTAGGTAGCTCTTAATATCATTAGATCATGAACAGTTTGTAATGTTAGGATATATTACTCACTCGTAGCCGGTGAATCCATAGTCACATTGGTTGAGCTTAGGTATCTGATTATGTTTTTAATGTGCACATCATGTGAAACGATGAATTAGTACAAGATTGACTGGACTTATTAGAAGTCGACCGGCAACAATCCATTAAAACTACCGCTTACACCACTTGTAGAATGAAAGTCACGATGTAAATTACAGACGATAATTATGTTTAAGTAGTTGGGAGTGTTCTATGAGTAATTAATGCCGACTTCAGTTCCGTCCAACTTTCTTCCACCAACCGACGGGATGCATTTTACAGCGCCTGAATAATTTCTATAATGTCGCATAAGGCAATGTCGTTGTGGGTTGCCAACATTCTCGTCATACTACAAAACCCCGATGGTGTAATGGTACCACGCGCAGATATGTTTCCTTTTTTTGATTCACAGTATATTCAGCTATCTAGCTATGACTTGTAATTCATAATTCAAACCTTCTCCTTCTAACCCTTCATTCCACCCTTCTATCCCAGTAAAATATTTCCCATTTACATGTCCTATCTTAATTTCCTTTGTATACTGCCATGCACTTGGATGTATCGGGGGACTTTTCTCAACACCTGTCAGTGGTGTCCCCTACGAACCTCCAGCTCTCACCGTAGAGTCTGCAGGGCCGAGATTGAGTAAAGTATTCCTTACTTCGATGAGAACTCCCAATCGCTTTCGCCGTCTGTATTGTTTTTATCTCTCAACACATCCCCCTATCACCATTATCATGAAGCTAACCACGATCAGATTAGATGGTAGGGTCGGAGCTCTAATCATCACCAACCCTAGATCATGGAGGGAAAGCCATCTGATGAGTTTCCGGAGCGTACCCAGCACCCGATACGGAGATGGCGGATTGGATCAAGTCGACCTCTATTGTTACAAAGAAGGGAGATATAGATGAATATGCGCACCTCATGTGGTCCCGATGTCTAGGCCTCGCTTGGCTGGGGCTGCATGTTTTTTGAGACTTTTTCCCGTGCACGCAGTTTCCATTGCTACCATTTTGTTTCTTTTTACGGTAGAAGATTCCGTAGAAAAATTACCTTAATGCCGTAGGTAGATACTGAGCTGAATGGCTATTCATCACGGGCAATATATCAATGATCTTTCCGGTGACAAAAGAGGCAAGGAGCACTATACAAGGTGTGATCTGGGCCAGAGCGGGACACAATTTGCAAGATCGTCATAGACCTTGGTAGCACCATATAGAGATCACATTACATCACCCATTCGGGAATGCAAGGCGGTCACGGGCGCCGGCATGTCGGTTAGCTTTGACATCGGAGGGCAAGACTGAACACCTGTACGCGGTGTCCTCTACGAACGTGGGAGTGAAATATTCTCCCAGAGCTAAGTTCAGTCAAATTTAGCAATATCAAAGAAGTTGGCCCACGAGGCAAAAATTCAAATTACTCCACCATGTCAATCTTTCACTCCCAAAGAGTCCGATTCTCAACTAAGCTTCATCAAATCTACAAGTACGACATAGTACATCCTCATTCTAATGAACACACCTCTTGTCGACTTTCTCTGGCATTAACTGGTCGCCAAATACACGCCCACGCCGATATTTACACCCGACGGAGGACACAAAGCGTGGCGTACAAATCTGGGAGACTGTTCTTTGGGATTGGCGTGAGAGGATTCAGGACAAGTTAACAAGATGATGCGAAGGATGTATACAGTCTATGCGAAGGATGTTTACAGCCTCGACAGGCGTGGAATTTTGAGTTTCGGAAAGGAGTTTTTACAAGTTGAGCTTTGTGCGTGCCAAGGCTTCGGTTGCGAGAGTGCAGGCGACACTATAAACATCGCTATGGCTGGATGGTGCAGTGGTACATCGTCTTGGCCGGTCTGCCAAGTAGAGTCTGGATAGCTTGGACACATATCCCACTTGAGACAGTAGATCGCTGGTCCAAATCCAGCAAAACACAACCACTTTTCTCACGGCGCTGGTATGCATGAATGACTAAGGCATGCTTGGATAATCAAAAGTTTCGAAATTCCCTTTGGTGGGTACTTACGGAGAAGGGTCGACTGTTTGTGTAAGCAAGCATACCTCATAGTGGTATTTGCGAATGAAATCCAGAGTGTGAGTGTCTGTAACGTCAAAAGAGTCATCCAACATGTATACATAGCACCGGTCATGTGTCATAGCTAGATAGCTGAATACACATTAAATGATTTAAAAAAATAGCTTTGACATCGGCAGAGCTGACTGGCATGGCGCAAAATATTCCAAAGATTGAATCCAGTACTCTGACTTACTGGCGCTTAGGTGGAAATAACATGGCAAGTGGAAAAACAGGATCTTGCAATCTTAGACACATTAAATGAATTACAAGTGACTCTCGGCTCTTCCGTGGACACCACGAATTACAAGCGATACTAAAGAGGAAGAAAAGAAGAAAAGAAGATTTTATCAATTTGAGATTCTCAAGTAGTTTACTCTACAATCTTGTACTATTCACAGATAGGATCACCCTTTCAAATGAATTTGTGGCACGCAGTAAGCCATTAAACACATAGCTTTTCTCTATTCAGGCAAGTCCCCGAGATAAACTGCGAGTGAAATCCTTTATAGTCCAAGCTCCAGCCTAGTACTAACCCAGATGGCAAAAGAATGAAAGGATTCGAAAAGTCTCCTGTGCATATGGATAGCTTAGCATAATGTTTGGGGTTGAAACTAGCAGTGGTATCTCTGCAAAACTGACATGCCCACACTTTACACCTATTAGGTATCCGAGAGATCACTATCCCAGATGGATGAGCTTAATTGTGATATTAGTACTCGGACCAATGACTAGCTCTTAATACTTGGCGCTGAGATTTCAACCGAGTAAAATGCGAGGTAAGCCTCGCAATGAGCTTAAATTTAGTTCATTGGCAACTTAATGAAGCGTCTGCCGACAAAGAAGAATCCTTCACCATCCATTGGTGCCGGTGTAATCACTCAGTATGCTCTGCATATCTGGGATGGCCAAGAAGAATCGCATCCAAATCGGAGTCGAAAGCACTCACAAGCACATTTAAAATCGACGACTTCTCGCCAATATCGGATCTATCATTCTCACACGAGTCCTCCACCTCAATCTTACTACACTACCTCGCCTCAAATACCAATAATGGCGTTACTCCAATTGCAATCAGCCATTTGCCTCATAAAAAACCGGCCATCTCCCACTACACATTTACGATGCTATGTATACCCGCGAGGAGGAAATCAAGTCATAATCTACAAAGTTCGGGTCTTGGTCTATGGGGGACCCTTGCTCTACTGGGGCTTTACATCTTGAGGGAGGACGGGCACCTGGAACGTAGGACGAACGAGTGAAGAGGTCACAAATGTGCATGCTGGGACGCACATTTGTCGAGTATTTTCGACTTAAGGGTGTCCGTGGGCGCCGAGGCAACGATTTAGGATGGTGCTACCGACACACTAAAAACAGGCAACGATGCAAGGTGTTTTGGACCGCCTCCTGGTCGTCATCTCCCCGAATTAAAGCCTAGACACCTACCTCACTCGAGAAAAGGAGGACTGTGAGGCCATATATCGTGCGGCGGCTATATACAAGATGACAAAGGCATGTTAGAGTAGCCAAAGATTTTTCCTGCTTTCCCTTTGGTGGATATTAATGGTTGAGAGAAGGGTGAAAGTCCCTAGCACCAAGGTCTCGAGTGGTATCAGCGAATGCACCCTGTTGTGAATATCGTGAGCATGACTTGTAAATGACTATTTACGACAGATACAAGGTCTATAACAGATATCTTGGCAGGGGCGTCAAACCACCACGCATGACGAGTTTGAGGCAGAGTCATATATGCTTGGGTGAAGCATCCGGGTCAGGAAGTCGCAGCCAAAGAGTATCATATATACTTAGCATTGTATCATAGTTGTGAACCTAGAGTCTAATGATACGTAGGCAACGGGAGATGTAACTGAGTCAATGAGTCTCAGTTTACGATCAAGTAGTACTGGCGTAGTCATGTGGAATAATGGCCAGCACAAGAGACTTGTATATGATATAGCGATATCTTTATGTTCAGATAGAAGTAACAACAATAATAAGTAAGCAATCAATCGAATATTATCGGGATTTATTATTCATATCATTCTAGTATCATCAATTACATGATAATATTCTAATACACCCACTACATGAGTAGTCCGAATTTCTGGTAGAAGTGTCGCGCAATGAAATGGGCGCAATATTTAAAGAGCGAAAGTAGAAGTTGACTAAAAGAGTGTCATGTTCGGATTACAGCCAAAACTGTAAGAAGTGTGCGCTACAAGTACAAGTGTAATTGAGTCATCTATTATACACTTCTCTCATATTGTGTCATAGCAAGATAGCTGCATACGCAATGAAAATCTGATGCAAAAGAAAAAGTACAAATGTAAGCGAGACAGAGCCAAAGCCACACCATAAACGAGTGTGGCGCAATCTAGGCATAGAAAACCCCCAATAACCTCCTTGTGCCCACGCCATACAGCCGCTCATGTCTCCAATAGGTAGCCTGAAGCGCTACTATATTACCTATTCCAACCTCTTAAATACACACGAGATCGTGTCGGGAACCTGGACGAAATGGAGGGCCCATATGTCCACAACACTCCGTGTCTTCATTTCCAAGAATGTCAAACTGAGTTATTTTCGTACATAGTCTTCGGAGAAACTAGTCTTCTCCGCATCATGCTCTTTGAGTGCAGGGCCTTGTGCCCGTCACGAATAAACTTTCATTCATTCATAAACTTAATGAAGCGTTCTTAGAAAAAGACAGGAGGCGTGATACCGAAGAACAACCATTATATTAAGCGAGAAATTTGGGATCCGTCAGGTTTCCCCATTTCCTTCAATCTTAGACATGTATGATATTTTGAAGGTTCAAAAAATCGTTGGCCTAACGGAACGTAGAAGTAGGACAACCTTCGAATTACCTTGAAAAACTGTGTCATTCTAGTATTAAACAGTATGGAAGATTGAGTGGGAAGCGGC